CAGATGAAAAAAGAACAACGTAATTCTCAATCACCGGGGGCCGGTCAGCTCAACGATGAGATCTCGAGGCCGTCGCCCTTTTTCGTTTTCAAAGAATGGAATTAAATAATTTGTGCAGAAAATTTCAATAAATCTCGAGTGCCGAAAATTTCAATAAATCTAAAATGCTGAAACTTTTCCAGGAAATGTGTAAGGGTCTCGCTGCACCATTGACCACATCCACAAAAGACAAATATTATGGCAGTGCATCTTTCCATGTTCTGGAGGAAGATGCATTCTCATTTTGCACATTTGGTAGGTGGTAAACCAAAAAAAGAAAAACTTCAAAAACTTCAAAAAAAAAAAAAAGACCCAACCACCTAACTCTGTCTTTTTCTAAGCTTTTGTAATCCAATCGAATCCAATAATCGCCGTGCCGGAGGGAAGCGACAATGATAATTCAATTCCGTCATTTGCCTTTTGCGAAAAACGTTTTTCTGCTCTGCACTTCACGCGAAAGCAAATATGGAAAGGTCCGAAGGTATACCAAAACAAAGATCCTGTTTTTCTGGAAAAGCCAAGTGCAGCTGCCGATGCTGCTCACGGTTGTTTTAAGTTTCTCTCTCTCGTGTCTCTCTTCCTCTCCCTCTGTTGTGTGTGCGTCCATGCATATGCCAAAGCCTGTGCATGTGTGTTTGTTTTTGTGTGTGTGTGTCTGTCTATGTTTGCTTGTTTGTGTGTGTGTCTTTGTTTGCTTGTTTGTTTGTTTTGTCTGTTTGTTCTTCTGTTTGTTTTGTCTGTTTGTGTGCGTTTCGCGTGCCTCTGTTTGTATGTGTTTGCGTGCGTTTCTCCTGTTTCTGTGTGTTGTTTTTGTGTGTGTGTGTTTGCTTCTGTGAGTGTGGTTGTTTGTTTCTTTGTATCAGTGTCTTTGTTTGTTTGTGTATTTGTATCTGTGAGTGTGAGTGGTTTTCCTGTTTCTGCATTGTGTGTGTGTGTGTGTGTGTGTGTGTGCGTGTGTGTGTGTGTGTGTGTGTGTGCGTGTGTGTGTGTGTGCGTGTGCTGAATGCATTGAATGCTTACGCACACATTTTTGTGTGTGCCCTTTTTTTAATGCTTGTGCGCGGTGAAACAGGTGCCTATTCAACTGTTCAGCGTACCTGGCAAGTATGCGACGTCACTTTTCAAGGCAGCAGTGAAAGCGGATGCCCTCGAACCTGTGGAAACAGAGTTGCGTACAATAACAGAGCTCGGAGAATCCAACCAACTGGTTCACGATTTTCTCAAGGATCCTTCGGTGCCAGTGCGTGACAGAATTGCAGGGATAGAGGACATTTCCAAACATTTGAAATTCTCCCCACTCACAAATAACTTCTTAGGTATGCGTTCTCTTCTTCTCTGTTATGAACTTCTATCCCCTCCTCCTCCTCCTCCTCAATCTCTCTTATGATCTATATATCTCTGCCTACGGTTTACCGGGCAGTTCTGTTTGTGACGATATATATATATATATTTATATTTATGTATGTGGCTGGGACAACCACAGATTTGGAGGAATTGTTCTGGCTGTGGGAACGAGGATGAACATGTGCATTGTATAAATCATACTGGCGGTGCACCGGGCAGTGTAGATGAAGGACGTTGACGTGATATGTTACAGTGCGTGGTGCTTTACGAACGAGTAGAAGGTGCACACACTCGCACCCACACCCGGATGTGCAGTGTGCGACGCGATTTTGCAGTGTGCTATGTGCTGGTGTGTGCGCATATGAACAGCGAATCTGTGCTGGTGCACGGTGCGTTTTTCTTTTTTTTTTTTCTTCTTTTTTCTTTCTTTCTTCGGTTATGGCTTCCCCGGGCCTCTTTCAACCACAAAATGCAGAAAAGCATAAAACACACAAAACCAAAGCTCAACGAAGTAGAAAATTCTCAAGCCAGTTTCTTCTCTTCCCCCCCCCCCCACCTTTAGCAAACATGAAAGGATAGAGGCGACCAACGGAACTACCTCAGTTGGTACGCCACCAATGAAGTGTTGAAATGCAGCCCTGAGTTCGAATTCTGAAAGTAGAGAGGCGGTCTTTGCTGCATGTGGTGTGCACAGACACAGTATCGACAATGCAATGTCACATCATCGAAGTTATGATCAAACACTGCAATGGCTCAGCATATACACGACATCTCACATAAACGCAGGAAAGTTGAGCACACAATCACCGAGCGGTACTGTCAACACACCACAACACACCAAGCCATCACATGATCATAGCATCACAAACAGACAGCTAATGTTTGTTTGTTTGCATGTTTGCTTCAATTGCTTATTTGTTTGATAAAAAAAAACAAAAAAAAACGGCGGCCACTGCTAGCTGGGGTGGTAAGAGCAACCCCCCTCTAGCAGCGCCCCCGTTGATCCGTCTATTGGTGGGGAGCAGCACCTGCTGTGTGTGTGTGTGTGTGTGTGTGTGTATGTGTGTGTGTGTGTGCGTGTGTGTGTGTGTGTGTGTGTGTGAGAGAGAGAGAGAGAGAGAGAGAGAGAGAGAGAGAGAGAGAGAGAGAGAGAGANGTGTGTGTGTGTGTGTGTGTGTGAGAGAGAGAGAGAGAGAGAGAGAGAGAGAGAGAGAGAGAGAGAGAGAGAGAGAGAGAGAGAGAGAGAGAGCTAATGTTAACACACCAATGTCATTGAGCCACACATTTTTTGAAAAGTTAAAAGACTTCCAGAAGCATGGAATTCGCCACACGGTGGTGCTCAAGAAGTTGGGGATTTTTTATTATTTATTGTTGTTATTTTTTAATGTGAATCCTTGCGCTGGGGCCGTGCTAATCCTCTCTGCATCGTTCCAATTTTAACGGATGTCGCGAAGGACGTTGTGAAAAGTTTTACAACTATAGTGGAATGGAAAAATACAGTGTTTGGTGTATGTCTGCCAAATCAAAATTATACTTACACTAGGACCTTTCCTACAAAAGTTCTGGACGTGATTGCGGTCAGATTCATCCACTTTTGAGCGTAACTGCAGTCCGATACATTTAGGAAAGTGCTCGTGCGAGTATGCGCTTAGAGAATCATACTTGCAACATGTTCAGTGTGCACAAGCCATGTTATTAAACAATTCAAAATTTTCAAGAGGACGGATCAAATAAAGTACGGTTGCAAGTTTTGACAATTTTGACAATTTTGACAATTGAATTGAAGCCTACACCCTACTTGTCCTTGTCTCCCTCTTTCCCCCCGCTGTCTTGTGACCAGAACCCACCTTTCCCCGTGTCTTCTCCCTGCCGTCGTCCTGGCCTCTATCCAAGATGGAATTGAACTTACTCTGCTGATGAAGAGGATGATGTGGACAACCCTGATGCTGATGCCGATGGTGATTGTGATGGTGATGATCCTCCGTCCCCCCCGCTTTCGTTGTTGTCGATGATAGTGGGGACCTTCGCGATTTGCCGATGCAGCTTTGTCTGCCGTAGCTTTCGTTGCTTGAGCATCGCTTGCTGCCTTTGCAGCCCTGGCCGCAGCCTTCTTGTTGGCTTTAAGCGTAAGGAGCATTCACCTTCGTCAGACTCTCCGTCCCCCTCTTCCGCGGTGGCTCTGCTTGTCCAACTGCCTCCGGCTTGCCCCACAATAAGCACCTTACCCTCCACTGCCTTCGGCACATGGCTTTGCTCCGCTCTGCAGCCTTTTGCCAGATGCTCCCTCCGATGCCTTGTGCTCCTGGACGCCTCATCCCTGGCTTGCACCCACGTGCCTGCTTGTAGTGAGAAGGGAAAAATGTGGCACATGCAGGAGGGAGGGATGACGGAAGGAGGAGGGAGAAAGAGCAAGGAGGAGGGAGGAAGAGGAAGGACAAGGGAGGAGGGGGAGAAGAGTGATTGATGAGGGAGGAAGGAGGAGAGAACAGGGTGAGCTGTGGAATGAGGTGGAAGGAAGCATGGCAAGAGGAGGGAGGATGCAAGAATATGGCTCGAGGTGAACGAGGATGGCCGAAGGAGGAGAGAGGAGGGAGAGGTTAAATGTGGTGGAGTAGGGATGGCGGACAGGGGGCGGAGGAAGGGTGAGAGAGGAGGGAGGAAGGTGGTGTGTGGAGGAGGTTGGAATAGCGACTCAGAATGGAGGAAGGAAGAGAGAGAAGGATGAAGTGTAGCGCGGGTGGAAGGAGCCATGGAGGAAGGAGGAGGGAGGAAGGAGGAGGGAGAAAGGTGGCATGTGGCGGAGGGAGGGATGACGGATTGACGACGGAGGAAGGAGGCTGAAGAAAGGTGGCATGTGGCGGAGGGAGGGATGACGGATTGACGACGGAGGAAGGAGGCTGAAGGGCATAATGTGGCATGCGGTGGGAGTCGGCCTGGCAGGAGGGAGGGAGGAGGGAGAAAGGTGGCATGTGGAGGAGGGATGAGGAGAGGTGGTGGTGTGTGGAAAAGGGAGGGATGTCGGAAAGAAGAGGAAGGAATGAGCAGGGAGGAGGGAGGAGAGTGGTGTGTGGGGGAGGGAGGGATGGAGGGAGGAGGAAGGAGTACGGAGGAAAGTGGTGAGCGGAGGGGAGAGAGATGGTGGAGAAGAGGGAGGGAGGAGAGAGGAGCTATATATATACACACACACGCACACACACACACACACACACACACACACACACACACACAGAGAGA